GGGGGGGGGGGGGGGGTAAAAGGCAAAGCAGGGTGTTGTTGTACGTAATAGTTGAGTTCCAAGAATACAAGGGCTTCGGACCTTGAACAATACATTTATTAGGAGCCTGTTTGGAAGTGATTTTGAGAATTGATTTTTTGACCGTTAGGAGAAAAGTGGGGTCCATCTGTGAGAGAAAAAGTCAAATATGACGACTGAAATAGTAAAATAACGATAAAAAAATCAATTATTTTGAATGAAAAAATCGGGTCCAAACAGACTCTAGGAATCATTTTCACTCTTAATTTCTTCGTAGAAAAATTTACTTTAAAAGACATCAAACGAAAGCGATTTTAATTCAACATATGCTAAAAAAATGTCGACCAATATTTTCTCAGTTCAATTATTGATCAAAAGTAATCAGAGTTAAAAGAAGAAATTAATGCATAGACTTGAACACTTCCCCCAAGTCACCACTCGATTCTATTAATTCCTTTTAACAAAATAATAAATTCTAACTCACTCATTGCTTCAAAATAGCTTCAATCAACGCAAAACATTATTATTTTAGTGAAAATTCAGGTTGGTTTCCTTAACTTTTTAAGCATTATGATTTTGACTTTAACGTTCAAGGTTTTATTGTTAGCATATTTTCATATGTGAATTTAGGGTCCGTTTGATTGTAAAGAGATTGTAAAGATGAAACTTGGGTGGAAAGAAAACGAATTTCAGAAAATTGAATTGCCTAAAAATTATTTTTCTGAGAATTGTCAATTTATTATGTTTGATTGTTATAATTTTTTACGTGAAAAATATAGAAATAAAGGTTTTTTTTGGTGTTCGTTGGACTTTGTTTTACATAAAAATTGTCAATTAAAGGAAAAAAATTTACTGATATTGGGGATAGAATTTGTTTCCATTACCCAAAAAAACCAAAGAAAATCATCTATCTTTTGGTATACGTTTAGTTTTGTTTTACAATAAAATTGTCAATTAAAAGGAAATATATATATATTTTTTAAAATAATTCTTAGAATTTGTTTTCATTATCCAAAAAAAAAAATCGCTATAGTAACTGGGAAAATGAATTCTAACCACATTTTCCTCAATTCCATGGAAAATGTCTAGGTGACACTCAAAGTTGCAAAATGTTTTTCATGAAAAAATAATCCTATCAAACACTACAAAAATTGGAAAATAAACTTGATTTTCCAAGGCCTATGGAAAACCTTTGGCTATCAAACATAGCCTTAGATCCAACAGCAATAGAAATTGTCAACTTGGAAACTGAAATTTCACGTGACTTGAAATTGAATTACAAAATTGTCAGATCACTTAGGACCTGCTCGATAGTGATTTTGAGAATTGATTTTTTGACTGTAAGAAAAAAATGAGGGCCACATGTGAGAGAATAAGTCAAAAATTACGACTAAAATAGTGAAATAACGATCAAAAAAATTTTGGGTTAAAAAATCACTCCCAAACGGGACTTAATATTCAATTTTATATCATGAGAATGTCGAGTACAATTTTAACATTCATATTAACAATTTTTGTTACTTATTTGTAAAATTCGCATATTTATATAAGGTGAGGATTTAAAACTTCAATCTTAAACGTTAAAGATCTGAAATCACACTACAAAAATGTGCGGGATTCGAACCTTAAATTTTTCCTTTGATTACAAACGAATAAGGTTGTGTAGATTTATTATTATTTTTAATTAAAAAATAAAATAAAATCATTATCTCCGATAGATATTCTTAAAACCTTAATCAAATTCTCCCTCTAAAATATTTGTATATTATTACATTTTTTGTCTCATTCCTGCCAATTCAACGCAGTACAATTACAATACACATTACAAATTTTTTACAGAGCAAATTTCATCCTCCCACCTGTCCCCCATTCCCCTTTTGTGTTCAACCTTCAAATTCTCATCGCCCGTGACCAAAATATCGTTAGTGCATAGAATATAACACGAACACGTTTCAATTTATCATTACATTGGTATATTGATCGGGCAGCAGAGTAGGGATTTAGGGAGACGCTGAGTATGAGGAACCTGCAACTGACGGCGAAGGGTTCGTCGGTGGCGATGGACACCGGCGAAGAAGAGAGGTTACTGGGCTCTTTCGATGAGGAGAATTTTGAGCAAATATCGGGGAATTTCAGGAGAATTCAGGTGAGTGTTACAGGTATGACATGTGCAGCCTGCTCAAATTCCGTGGAATCAGCTCTCATGAGCATAAACGGCGTCGTGAAAGCCTCCGTTGCCTTGCTACAGAACAGGGCTGATGTTACTTTTGATCCTGCCTTAGTCAAGGTCTGGTCAATTCGTCTTCCCTGATTTGTTAATATCATTATGTAATTTTATTAATAATTTTTTGAACTACATTAAGAGTGAATGAAATAATGGGTTAGTGATAATTTTAATTTTAGTGGGTTCTATGTTGGTGACAGTGATTTGAACTTTTTTTAAACACTTTTTATTTAGGATTTCTATTTGTGATTCTGTATCATGGTTTTTTTGTTTTATGGTAAATATTTATGGTTCAGAGTTTATATGTTCTTTTTCCTTTATTGATGTTTTGAAGCTGGATTCCTTTTTTGATGTGCCCAAGCCGGATTCTAGAGCCTGAATTTGTGGTGTTATTATGTCACAAGATTCAGGAAAATAGTTGTAAATGTATGGTTACAGAACTGGGTTTATCGATAGGAACTCACCACTAACAATGAAAAGTATAGTTTTGTAAATCTGACACAATTGTTGTTTAATCCTGAGCTTCCAAAGTTGAGGCGAGCAAAATTTGTTCATGCTGTGTTTTAGGTTGTTATTTCCTGGCTTTTGAGCAGAGTAATTCTTTTTGAACAAATCAGGAAACACTAAAAAATATATATATATATTTTTTCTTCTGGAAATGATTTTCGTAGAGCTGCTTCAATTTTCTCTGATTGGACTACTCATTGCAACTTACGCATAATAAATGAAATGCAGTAGGTGGAGTAAGGCAATAAACCTTGTAGTCTTCCCTGAAAACCATCAGTGGTTTGTTCACCTTGATTTTCTGCCATTTGGTAAATGACTGAATTTTCTCAGGTTTATGTTAGATATACAAGCAGTGGTAGAAAAACAATTTGTATGGTTACCACTACTTGGAGCTAGACGCATATGCATATGATACAGCAATATATACAAAGATTTGTCTGGTCCAAGCCAACTGAAATAGACTATCTCATAAGTATTGTCTGTCTCTCTTTCTTTTATGTTGTTCCTTTGCATCACTGTGTAATTTTAAATAAAGCAGTCTTGACATGGCATCTTTTAGCTTATAGGAGTAGACATTGGGTAATACATGAATCTTAAATGAAGTTTTCGTTAAATCGTGCTATTCCTCCATCGTCATTCTGAGGATAGTTTCCTTGCCTCTTTAGCATGCTCTTTTTTCTTTCTTTTTTTTTGAATGACTATTAGTTTTCCCACATTCTGATCAGGATGAAGACATTACAAATGCAATAGAAAATGCAGGGTTCGATGCTGAGATTCTGTCTGAACCGCGTACGTCTTGCACTAAACCAGATGGAACATTAGTAGGACAGTTTACAGTAGGAGGAATGACTTGTGCAGCTTGTGTAAATTCTGTAGAAGGAATTCTGAGAGCTCTTCCAGGTGTGAAGAAGGCTGTAGTTGCTTTGGCTACTTCATTTGGGGAGGTTGAATATGACCCCATTGCTATAAGTAAGGAAGGTATAGTCAGTGCAATCGAAGATGCTGGCTTTGAAGCTTCCTTTATACAGAGTACTGGGCAGGATAAAGCTGTATTAGGGGTTAATGGAGTATCAAGTGCAACGGATTTACAGCTGTTAGAAGGCATTCTTTGCAACTTAAAGGGCGTGAGACAATTTCATTTCGAGCGAACTTCAAAAGAGTTAGAAGTTCATTTTGATCCAGCGTTTCTCAATTCTAGATCTTTAATTGATGAGATTGAAAGAGGAAGCTATGGAAAATTCAAGTTACTTGTCAAGAATCCTTATACAAGAATGGTTTCTAAAGATCTAGAAGAATCATCAAAGATGTTTCGGCTATTTACTGCGTGCTTGTTTCTTAGCGTGAGTGATTCCATTTTTATTGATGCATCCTTAATCGACTTCATGCTCGTTAGGTCTGTTTCCCAAGTTATTTTCTTGGAAAGTTATGTTATGCATTGTTTCTTAATAATGCATTAGCAGGTTGTGGATGCTAACCGATACCCTGATTTAATTTACTGTTTTTTCCCACTACCTTTAAACAAATAGAGTTGCCTAGTTTATGTTCTTCTAAGAGTAACCCTGAAAAAAATGATGTTATGATGACACTATCGCCAAACCATGCTAATGAGAATAATATTATGATATGAATAATTCTTATTTATTTTACTTTTTTCTACCACTCTTCTTTTAAATCCTAGTCAATTTGCACCAGGTTCCTGTCATTTTCATGCGAGTCGTCTGTCCTCACATCCCTTTCATATATTCTTTACTAATTCGGCGATGTGGTCCTTTTCAAATGGGGGATTGGCTGAAGTGGGCTTTGGTGACTATCGTTCAATTTGTTATTGGTAAGCGTTTCTATGTTGCAGCTAGCAGAGCACTTCGGAATGGTTCAACAAACATGGATGTTTTGGTTGCATTGGGAACTTCAGCTTCATACTTCTACTCTGTGTATGCGTTATTATATGGTGCAATCACAGGGTTCTGGTCTCCCACATACTTTGAAACAAGTGCAATGCTAATAACATTTGTACTTTTTGGTAAATACTTGGAAAGTCTTGCAAAGGGAAAAACATCGGATGCTATCAAAAAGCTTGTGGAACTCGCACCTGCCACTGCTGTATTGCTTGTCAAAGACGAAGGTATTTTTTTTCCTCGTTGGGATTTGGTATGCATGGGAAAAGTTATATTTCATTTGAGGCTATGACATAGTTATATTTCATTTGAAGCTATGACCCGATTTTGTAATTTATTTGATGTCATGTCATTTACAAGTTGAAGTACAAGATAATATGATAATTTTTAGAAATTGGAATAGATGGATATTGTTGACTTGAAACTTGTACTGAATGAGTATTTTCTACATTGCAGGTGGAAAAATTCTAGGAGAAAGAGAAATTGACGCCTTGCTAATTCAGCCTGGCGACATATTAAAAGTACTTCCTGGTTCAAAGATTCCTGCTGATGGTTTGGTTGTTTGGGGTTCAAGTTATGTAAATGAGAGTATGGTTACTGGTGAATCTGATCCTGTTCTGAAAGAGGTCACTTCATCGGTTATTGGGGGTACAATAAACTTGCATGGTTCGCTTCATATACAGGCCAATAAGGTAGGATCCAATACAGTTTTGAGCCAAATTATTTCTCTGGTTGAGACTGCGCAGATGTCAAAAGCGCCCATTCAGAAGTTTGCCGACTTTGTGAGTATAACTTTCTTTGCTTTATCATGATATTCTTCGTACTTCTGTTACTTTTAACAAGCAAAAAGAAAATTGTCTACTGGCCTCTGTGCTGTCTTGTTGAAGACACTGTTATGGATTAAACGAATAACCCATATTACCAAGAGCTATTAATTATGCCAAATAAGAAAAAGAATGCAAGAATAACACTGGATGTAACGTGCTTCACTCTCAGTGTGAGAGCTATTGCACCACTCATCACTGTCAAAATTGCACTATGTTGAAGAGAGAATTACGATGTATTTTGGACTCTCTCTCTCTCTCTCTATATATATATATA